GTCTGCCAGTGTTCCTCTGCCAACTGCTAATAAAAGTCCAACATGTGTCCGGTAAACCAAACGTAAGCTTGTCGCTCGGTCGTCCAGGCATGCTGACTGCTTTAATTAGGCTGCCGCGGCGACTTCTTATCTCACAGTACCTTCTGCAACCACCAAGTCGTCTTGTCTCTGGCCGAAAGAAAAACACCATCCGGTAATTCCGTGCAGCAGGGTACCAGCCCTGAGCTTCATGAACTCAGGTGGGCCCACCTCCGAATGCGTCTAGGAATCGTGGGCCGAAACGCGTGTCGACGAGGATAATTTCTACTGACGACTGGTAGATCCCTGCTGTACTTGCTCCCTGTGAGTTTATTCCTATTTTGCCCCCGAAAAAGGAAATCGCCATCAACTTACCGGGGGTCGCACCCCAGTCCCTCGCGTGAGAGCCCAGCGTTGTAACCACTTGGACAGCCGCTGGCTTATTAACGGGCAACAATTAGAACCAATTATATAAGGCATTTTTCGCATGAATAGCGCTCTCATTTGCTGTCTAAATATGCGTATGCGAATCAATACTTCACCACATGGGGAGAAAGGAAAAGGGAAACAAAACACGGCACGGTGGAAATTAAATGTACATTGATTTTACTGCTATAATAGATTTCCGTGATTCAATTAGTGTATGACAACCCTTCTTTCACTCATGGGGAAACTTAATATATATGTAATAAGTATATAAATAATTCATACTAGTACAATGTAAAAAAAAAAAAAAAAGGTAAAGTCGGGAGATGTGAACCAGCTTCATTGCACACGGTTATAAACTATAAGTGCTTCTACCACCAGTACGGACAGCTGATACGAAACGGCCCGCCTGTGTCGCCGTCCGTAAGTAACTGTAGCTGCAGCGACGTTCTTCCATTTTACCCTAGAGTGTTAACTCTGGTACCCATTTCCTAGAGGCTCAGTGAACCCCGGGAACCGCCCGGTTTCAAAAACCGACCGTAGCGGCAGCGAGTGGCAGCTGGATTTGAAAGCGAGCCTCCTATCGACTGAGCTAATGCGACTCCCGAAAGCAATGTGAAATGGAAAATTGTAATTAGCTTCTGATTTTTCGGATTACAGAAAATGAAAATGCGTCTATTTGCTTTCGAAGTAGGAAGGAATAAATCTAGCGCAGTGACTGTCAACCTTCCCAATCCAGTGACCCTTTAATACAGTTCCCTCATGTTGTGGTGACCCCTAAACAATTATTTTCCTTCATAGCTTCAATGAATATGTGTTTTTCGATGGTTTTCGGCGACCCCTGTGAAGGGGTATTTCGATCCCAAAAAAGGGGGTCGTGACCGGCAGGCTGAGAAACGCTGACATAAAAACTCTTAACAAACGTGTGAACACAAATGAGGAAGCAGGGAGTTCAGCGAAACTAAATATACGTGCGGTTTTTGTGCGTGTGTGTGTGGGGGGGGGGGGGGGGGGGGGCGACGATTCGAACTAGACTGTTACTGAACATCCCCGTGTCGGCACTGTGACACTAGGGAGGGAAAGGGGGAAAAAAGGTCAACTGCATTTTCTGAGAAGCATGACGTAAAAGGCGACTGATTAGGGTACTGCAAAAACTGGATGTGTATGGACAAAAGGCATAGATATCACAGGCTACCAGTAAAACACTACACAGACTGCCAAAATGAAAGATGCCACTTTCTTGCTTCATGAACTACGATAACGCAGCGGCTAGGCCCCTGTCTACAGATCAGAAGGTCATGCGTTCGAATCCGCTTTTAGTCTAATATAGGTGTCAGGGAAGGTCCTGAGAAGTAAAGGATGCCGGCAATATGCTAATGTACATCGCCCATTGAGTAAAGGCTGGTCTATAAAAAATATGGATCTACCATATGTTCGATAAAATGAATTAATTAACTAACTTTCATCCACCCACCTGCTTTTCAAACTCAAATGCCTCACAGTGTCCCCCATCCAATATACGTAACTTGTCTTCCCTGTGTGGGTCCCAGAGTCCCACTGTGGGAGAAAACATAAATAGACCCACTGCCTCCCCCAACAAGCATGTCGTAGGAGTACACAAATTTTGGGTATTTTCTTCGAAGTGGGAGTACATTTGTCCGAGCTGCAGGGAACAACAAGCTGCACACAAATAGGCAAGTAAAACTGATGTACACGCAAAAGTCCGGCCCTGGCACAAAGCCAAAATTCAAATGGACGAACAACCAAGACCTTCCGCTGCAGTTTACAGGCAGAGAACAGAGTAAGTTGCGTATCCTTTACAGGACCAAAATTCAAATGGACGAACAACCAAGACCTTCCGCTGCAGTTTACAGGCAGAGAACAGAGTAAGTTGCGTATCCTTTACAGGACCAACATCAGCATTTTGTTTTTGCTGATGTTGTTTTTCTAGGCAAATTTTACGTTCAGTAGTTTGCCACTGCTTTCTAAAAATTCAGCTCTTTGTACCATTGTCGAAACCAACATGAGACAATTCGACCGCAACTAGGGATCGAGCCCGGTACCCCGGCAGTACGAAGCGTGCTCGTAACGCCTACGCCACAGATGCCGATAGAGAACAACAGAGAAAAAGAAGAAATATATTTCCCAGTTGTGTTAATTCACAGAAAGCAAACAAGGCACACATTACGCCGCTGCTGGTTCACTATCGCAGGTCATTCCATGTCGTTACAAGCCCAGATCATTTGCATCTGTCAACGGCTATTAGGCCTGTAACTGATGGCTGTTTGTATTGGTATGTCCTCCCCCCCCCCCCCGCCCCCCCCCCCCTTTCCCCTTCCCACTTTCTATCGCTCTACACACAACTTCGTGGCTTCTGATCCAGACGAAGCCGGACTCTTCAAAAATGACCTTGGCTCCCAGGTCGACGCAGCCTCAAATAAATGCACACCACGTAAGGTCATGGGAAATAAAGGCGGTCGGCGTGACGTTGACTATATTACCCACAGAGTGCCTTTTGGTCTATAAAATACAGGTCTAGCACTATATGCCCAATACGCCCGAAAGCGTGGAAAGGAATCCTTTACTTTCCCTGATACCTTCCAATAGGTCAATGTTTTTGTTACATTTCATGGACGACCTAAAACATAAATGTCCAGTGGAACGTTGGCGTTCTATTTTACTGTCTTCGCAGTGAAAATGTAATAATTTTTTTTTTAATCATGTTTACTTGGTTTAAAAAAAAGGGATAAAAAAAAAAAAAGGGACAGTAGAGAACAATGTCCACGCTACTGGCGTGTTATAGCGCATTTCGAAGGCCGTGCCCACTCACGTTAAGTTTTTAAAAGGGGTAGAAAATTATAGGGAAAAAAATAAGTTGGTAAGAAACAACAAACAGTTTATGTTAGCTTTACAAAATCGATCACAATAAACAAAGGACGTTGCGACGATTAGCCTTCATCAGCACATAAAGAACTATACAGTACACATACACAAATATGCTCTAACTATGAAGTGACTACATGGGACTAATGTACACAATAAATGATACTCATTTGTGTTCCTGGCGAAAAACTTCCTTCACAAGGATGTCATGGACAGGTACTGGCGTATTTATCAGCAACACACGGACCGGAGCAAAAAACGGGTTCACTAAAACCTAAAACTGTACGGATCAGAACGAATGTGTGGTCTTAGATTTCCCTTGTCCTTGTGATTTTATTGTTTATAATTGCACAGATACTGCTGTTTTCTTAAAGCAGCGAATCTCTCCAAACTTGGTTGAGCTAATAATTTGTGTACCATCGAAAATAGAATCAGTAATTGACAAACGCGTTGAGACTGGAAATGAACTGACATGTGCAACTATGCTAAATAATTATTTTGATAGCTTAACCCGAAAACAATGACTCACAGAAGGCGACTATACCACATACCGCCGAAATGCTTCCGCCGAGTTAAAGTCACCGCCGAGGGTTTCCCTAGCGCCGCTACGTGTGGCTAAACTAGATGGCTAGGACTCACGAGCAGCAGCTACCGCGTTTCCTGCCGCTTCCTCTATTTTATTTGCTTGTGAGTCCTAGTCATCTAGTTTAACCCCCTCCGCTCTGCGCCGCGCGTAGCGGCGTGGGGGATACTCTCGGTGGTGGTGGTATAGTCGCCGGAAAGAGGTCCGCGATTTACATATGACTGAGGCCCTGTTGGGGTATTATTTTTTCAGCCTCGATAATTTGACACCGTCATTCGGAGGATAGCCAATGTCTACAACCCCTATTCCAGAAACAATCTGTAACTACAGCCCCTAGCATAGAAACAATCTGTAACTACAGCTTCTAGCGCATAAACAATCTATAACTACAGCCCTTAGCACATAAACAATCCTTAACTACAGCCCCTAGCACAGAAAACTACAGAAACAATGTCTAACAATAAAGTTCCCACCACAGAAACAAGGTCCAACAATAGTTTCCACCATAGAAACAATGTATAACTACAGCCCCCACCACATAAATAATATCTAACTACAGCCCCAACCACAGAAATAATATCTAACTTCAGACCCTAATAGTACGAAACACATAAACAATATGACTCATCACGCAGAAAAATTATGTGCCTGCAGCCATTAACACAGAAACACTTTTAACACATAGTACCAGGATGGAATCTAATTGGAAAAACCTGAATGAATGTAATATAACAGATATCAGGTAGCAAATAAATCACATGAAAACAAGGTAAATATTGATACATTTTTCTGGACACTAGACAACGTAACTGAACAACTGGTGGGGTGAGATGGTCTATTTGTCCCACTGACAGGCATATCGCAATAAGCGATTGATCTTGCTGAAACCGGATGTGTTCGGAAGAAGAAAAGAAAGTGAAAGGAGGACGAGGAGAACAAGACGAAGAAGTAGCAAGAGGAGGAGGAGAAGATGTTGATGATGAAATAAAATAACATTGACCAGAATGGCACCCCTAGATCCCCCGGTGAATTTACGAACAGGAACGAACAAAGTCTAAACAAACTACACACTGACTACTTAACTACTCACAGAATGTCCAGTTTCGCCTTCTCCTCGTCCATCTTGAGACGCTTGTTCATCAAGCGAGTGCGGGAGTCACGTTCCACGTACTTCCTCTTGCCCGGGCATTGGTAAGTGAAGTGGCCTTTCTGCAAACACTTCTGGCACCTGTAATCTTCCTGCTTCACCAGACTGGGGACGATAATTGGCAGGGAGTAATCGATAATGACAGTGCTAGCAGGCGGGGAGAGGACAGGACAGGACAGACAGGGATTTCAGACGATGTACGAGATTATGAGGAGTAAATGCGTGCACATAAAAATAAATGGACAGAAGAGTGGATGTACATAAAAGGTATTAACTACCACCCCATCCCCCCCCACCCTACCCCATCAGTGAGTTTAAGGAGATCCCACTGGGGTATGTGGTGGGGGATAGACTCACTGCCACCTTAACAAGCAGGCGAGGAACCAACAAACTACCCAGTAAGACAGAATCGAAAAACGTGCACGCAGAATGTAAGCTATGGAACAGGGTTACAATCCAGAAGTTCGACCAACAACCAGAACTTGCTGCCGCAGTTTTACAGCAGTTCTTCGCTAGGGTGTAGTGTCCATGTCTGGAGATACTGCTGATTTCAGCGTATTTGAGAGGAAGTAGTAGACTTGACTTGATCACCAAATCATCTTTGTCGCAATGTGTTCGCCCATAATAAAGACTGATCGCACCACAAGATCATACTTGGCTAGGTGTAGTACATTACTGTACTCGTAGACAATGTTGGTGGTTGCGATAGGACATGTAACCTACGCCAGGGATATTTTACATGTATAACAGTGTGTTGTGGTGCTCCTGTTGTCGTTGGCCGCTCCTTGCTCTCCCGTGGGAACCCAAAAGTCGTTTGGTCGTCTGAAAGAGCTCTTGTGTGTGATTGCAGCAAGTTATACACCATGGGCAATTGACAGGATGCGTTACCCTCGAAGAACGCATCTAAGCCCCCCCCCCCCCCCCCCCCCAAAAAAAAAAAACCTGGCATTTATGAGAGTTCGAACACTAAACCACCAGTTCGCAGGTAAGTTGTCCATCACAGTTCTATCACAAAACTAATGATACAGGCACAAGCTGCATTGCTGGCATTATCTGAAAGACGACACACAAGTGTCACGGCGCTCCCAGTAACTAATGCTGTTCCAGGAGGGAAAAGGCAACCCAGTGGTCAAAGACAATTCAATAAGTGCTCCCAAATCGGGAAATCAATACAGAATCAATAAGGGGCGTGTAACTCCACACAAACCGAGTTGGAAACCATTTCTTTATTCTCCATGGTAACTAAACGCTGGGGGGAGGGGGATGAAGAAGTTTAGTTGCTCGTGAAATCCTACATTGTCAATTTTGATCTGTTAACGTTGTTGGTCTTGATAGTAAAAACAGCAGACGTTGGCAGGAATAAAGCAGACATAAAAAAGGATAATTTGGGAAGAAATAATCTAAGCCGGCTCCACAATGATGCACAGTGAAGTGAACACAAAGCCTTCTTTGGAAATATTGCTTGGTTAAGCTCCCATCACTTTCGTTACTCAAGCAATATTGTCTGAAAACCACTACAACGTTTAACTCTTTTAACACCACGAGGTTAGTTAGAAGATTCTAAGGGAAGAGATGGAGATGGTGATTACTATGAAAAATGTGGCGGTATTTACTTTGTGAAGAGGCCAAACAGACAAAGAAGTGACCGGAGAAGCCAGATTTTTCAAGATAGGTTGTGACCAAACATAAGAAGTAAAAGAATGCATTAATAGCTGGAATGTTTGGGCAGTAGCAAATGACATCACATGCGTGTCTTGGGACTAAAAGACTGAAAATAAAGACACAAAACAAGAGGGTAAGAGAGGGGGACGCATTAAATAAAGAAAAAAAAAATTACAAATAATAATAAAAAGAATAACAACAATTTCAGCAATATAAAACCAGCATGATAATGATCACTTCATCCACAGACTGTTGATGGGTCGATAACAACGTCTAGTCATATGTCAAATGCTCTCCGTGTAGGGAGAAACAGATCACCGCCTAACTTATAAGCATGCCATAAATGGCAACACATAATGGATTTTTCTCTCCCCCGTTGGAGCGCTTCTGCCTGAGCGGCGAGGAACCAAACGTCTGCACATAAGTAAGCTAGATATGTAAAACGAATGTACACACAACATTCCAAGTTCAGGAATGAGATCCAAGTCCAGAGGGGGACGAACAACAAAAACTTTCCACCCGAGTTTACATTAGTGAACTCTTAAAAAAGAATTTATGTCCAAAGTGACAATGGTGTAAAAAGAAGGTCTTTTAGACGGTTTGAGAACCGCTGCGTTAACGCATCGTTAGCCCGACCCGGTGACGTCAGCAGCACGGCCCGCCAGCGGGAGTCGGTCGTGGGCCATCCTTCCATGCAGTGTCAAAGTACAGACATTTAAAACTTAACTAAAAAAGGAACTACTTAATAATTTGAATGAGAAGTGCGAAAGTGATTGGTTATAACATAAGTTCTTCGTTTATTTTAAAAGCTAAGCACTCACTGCGATTTCAATCTGTCATATATTGAGAAATATTGGAATGGTTTATTAAAATGTTTTCTCTCTCAAATTGTTCTTATTCTCTCTCTCTCTCTCCCTCTCACCCTCTCTCTCCCGCTGTCATATTGTTATTCAATGCTTCCCAACTGCATCTGCGGCTGCTACCAACCCAAATTTGGCCGAGGCCACCATCGCCTCCTAAACTTTCCCAACGACACAGACCCATTATCAAAGACCCAACTGCATTACCTCTGCATCCTCCAGCCCTCACCAAATTTACCAAACTAACAGAGAAGAGCCGCTTCTTTCAAACTCTCTTTTCACATTTCATCATTCGATATTTTTTGCGTTCTAAGAATCAAGACTGTCGATCTTCGCAATCTCCAGAATCTTGTCAGAAAATACGGTTACAGCCAATTCTCCAAACGCCCATTTTCACTCTCCGGTCCCTGCCTGCCTGCGTCTGCTTTCTTTCCGGGACACTCAATTCCTGGCCTCTATATTCCACAGATTTCCATATTTCTGTCTACAAGGGTGATTGTGTCTGCATTCTGACGACGCGATATTGTAACAAAGGGTTAATGGAAAATGTGGGATCTTCATTCTCTCACTCAATTAGGAGACAGACAGACAGACAGACAGACAGACAGACCGACCGACCGACAGGCCGACAGACAGACAGACAGACAGACAGACAGATAGATAGATAGATAGATAGATAGATAGATAGATAGATAGATAGATAGATAGATAGATAGATAGATAGATAGATAGATAGATAGATAGATAGATAGATAGATAGATAGATAGATAGATAGATAGATAGATAGATAGATAGATAGATAGATAGATTGATAGAACTTTTTTTTTCAAAGGGTCACAAATTGGGCACGCAGGCCCGTATTACATTCGGCCCTTTCAGTCATCCATTTTTCCCACAGCAGTTGTATTTTACCAATAAAGCATGTTATGATCATATGATGATATGCATATTATGAATATTATAAAAGAACACAAAAGCATGTGTTGTAAAGTGCATGCAAAAAATCCGCGCGTGCATACACACACCCATATACATACATACATACATACATACATACATACATACACCCACATACACACACTCACCCACTCACTTACACACACATACATGCATGCATGCATTACATACATACATTCATACACACATACATACAAACATGCATACATACATACACACATACATACAAACATGCATACATACAAACAGACAGACAGACAGACAGACAGACAGACAGACAGACAGACAGAGAGAGAGAGGGGTAGATAGATAGATAGATAGATAGATAGATAGATAGATAGATAGATAGATAGATAGATAGATAGATAGATAGATAGATAGATAGATAGATAGATAGATAGATAGATAGATAGATAGATAGATAGATAGATAGATAGATAGATAGATAGATAGATAGATAGATAGATAGATAGATAGATAGATAGATAGATAGATATTTAAAAACACCACTGAATCCAATATACCTATTGGAATTGTCAAAAGTAACACGAATAACTTCTAGTTTTAAGTAACTGGATATAGAGCAAGACAGGTTACATACAACAATACAGATAATATACAACAAGACAAGTAATATACAACAAGACAGGTAACATTCACCAAGACAGGTAACATACAACAAAAAATAACATACAACAAAACAGGTAACATACAAGACAAGTAACATACAACAAAACAGGTAACACGACAAAACAGGTAAAATACAACAAGAAAAGTAACATTCAACAAGACACGTAACATACAAGACATGCAACATACAGCAAGCCACAAACATAGAGTAAGACAGGAACACAGAGAAAGAAGAAAATACAGCTAAAATACAGGAACAAACGGCAAGACAGGAACATACGGAAAAGGTGACAGAGACACAGACAAGCAAACAAGACAGAAAAAAATTCAGCAAAACAGGTACATAAAGTAAAACATAGACATACGTCAAGACATAGACGTTTAGCTAGACATGATCATACAGCAAGATACAGACACACAGCAATTCAGGACCATACAGCAAGACATGACAATACAGCAATACAGGAACACTCAACAAAGCAAAAACACAAAGCAGGAAAGGAACACACCTAACAAGACAGGAATACACAGCAAGTTATGAACATACAGCAAGACAGGACCACATAGCAAGACAGGAACATGACAACAAGGCAATAACACAAAGCAAAACTGGAACACACACAACAATAGATGAATGCACAGCCAAACAGGAACACGCATCAAGACAAGAACGCACGGAGAGACATGAACAAACAGGAAGATAAGTCCGTGTGTGGGTTCTGGGCTCCGATGCGATGCCGGCTGGAAGGGCAGCGGGGTTACAGACCCACTGCCCACCGACAAGTACTGTATGTCGTAAAAGTCGACTAATTAGAGATGTTTCCCGCGAGGTCAGAGTGCATTTGCCGAAAAGTGCGAAGAATCAACCGTCTGCATTTAAATATATAAACCAGATCTGTAAAAAAAAAAGATACGCACACAAAACTCCAGTTCTGGAACAAGACCTAAAGTCCAGAAGTGGACGAACAACCAGAACTTTCCGCAGGACTTTACAG